ATAATAGAATTCGATTCTTAAATAGATATATTACTGATTATATTACAATTCAATTGTTTAGATTTTATTCAATAATTTATCTTTTTCTTCTTTATTGATAAATAAATATGAAATATATAAAGAATTATTCGAATAAAATTCATATTATTAATAATAGACTGTAGAATATAGATAAACAACGCAAATGGAAATAATTATTTTTATAATTTATTCTTTATTAAATAGAATATAAAAAGAAATACTTTAATTATCTACTCAAAAATCTCTGATGAATATCATTCTTTTTTTCAAGTTGACAACTCATTTTTATTACGGATAATCAACTTTTTCTTTTTATTAGACTTTATACATTATACTTCATTCTTAAATAAGATCTTACCTTTTTTTTTTACTACTAAGATTATTATAATTATTATTTTTAATCATATTTAATTAATTGATGAAAAAAAAAACTTTAAATAGTTCATTGAATATTTTTATCAATACTTTATATAAAAAGTTAATAATCGTTTGTGTATTAATTAGACATTATTTCATTTCTATGACGATTCTATCAATATAGACTAATATCTTCAACTCTCTTTTTTTACTTTATTTACATCAAATCAATTGAGTCTTTTTTTTTTGTTAGATTATTCTTAGAATAATGATTGAGTCAATAACATCTACATCAATATATATATAGTAACAATAATAAAATAATAAGATCGATGGTGTAAGGTCATATAAGATAAAAAATCTATGTGTGTATAATCTGTTGATGGTTTTCTCATGTGATCGTTGTGTTCGTCGTAGATAGAGGAAACAATCAATCCTATTCGATTTGAAGTATCGAACAAAAACACCGAATTGAGAATGAGTAGCAATTTATCATTTTTTTTCTTAGTAGTGATTTGTTTACTCTATTATATATATATATATCTAAACTAGTCTATATACTATTGTTGATATAATAGTTAAGTGCTTAGTTTTTTTTTCTCGTTAACAATTCTGAAGACAGTTAATCATAGATAAGATAAATGAATATCTACAAATAGAATAAGTTTTTTGTGTAACACACATATATTTTCGAATAAAATAGTCAATGGAAGTTTTAAGTTGAAGTTTTGGCGTCTCTCCCCATTCCCTCACCCCCTTCCATTATAGACACTTAGCAACGAAAGTCTCCATTACAGATCTTACCAATTAAGAATAATAGACGTTAGACTTGCTAGTTTTTTTCAAAAAATTGCTCAACTTATAATTTTGAAAGATAATTGAGATGATTGTTTGTGTGTTGATTAACATATATAATAATCTATAAGATCTTCTGTAGATATAATGGATTTATTTACCAATTAATTCAATGATTATTATAATAGAAATGTTCAATTTAGGAAAAAGGAATTTTTAAAAAATGAAAGTTAATAAGAGAATAGCAACAATACTAAATAAAAATAGGACGGATGTAGATAAAAATTCTGTTAGAAGTGCATAAATTGTAAAGTTTATTAGTTTGATTTTCGATTATCCTAGAAAAAAAAGTCTAATATAGAAGAGGTTTGTTATTAAAGATATATTGTATTAGTATAATGATGGTAGAGAGCATGTTTGAGTTCCATATATCAGTTCGAAAGGGGCTGTGCTAACAATATTTGTTTATTTAGTTTTTTAATTATCTTTATTAGATATAATATAATAATAATATCGTAAAATAAAATGTTCTAATAGATAATATCTAAAACTAATGAATTCTAGTTGTTTTTCTAATGTTAATAATTGTTATAAAAAACTGAAAATATAAAAAATAATTAATATATAAATATATTTGATAATGTTGATCAGGTAAAGAATATATATCTAAAATATGAATATCGAAATAGTCTTTATAAAATGTTAAAATCTATTCTATATATCCATTGAATAAAATGATTTCCATTTATTAATAATATATATAAATAAAAAATGTATTTATTTAAATAAAAGCAAAGATTAATAATAAAAAAGAAAAATGAGTGTCACTAAGTCCAAAGTATAAAGTATGAGTAAGAGAAAAAAAGAAAAGTTGAAAATAGTTTCTGTAAAACTAATAAGTCGTCAGTTTCCCCTTGTTTTTTTCTTGTGTTTTGTTTTTTTCTTGTGTTTTGGTTTAGTCGATGGTGATTTATATCGACAAGAATAGTTTTCTTCCGTCTAGAATTAAAGTAAAATATTCATATAGAATTTAGTTGTTATTTTTTGTTTATTATTTGACATAAAGTTTATTCTGAAGGAGAGAGAAGAGAGAAAAGTGAATGGATAATCTTCATTCGAGACAATTTAATATAAAGAATAAAAAAAAAACTAAAAAACTAAACTCGATGGTAACTATAATATTATATAATTATATTCTATATTATCTCTTTTCTTTTTCTTTGAGGTTTTTTTTTTTGTTATTGAAGTAAGAGATTATTTTCTTGGTATCTAACAATAAAGAAAAAGATTAAACAAAATGAAATAAAATAGGTAAAAGACGTCATCAATTCTCATTAGAAATCTTTTTTGTTTTCCTAATCGTCGATATCATTTTTCTCTTTAATATTCTTATATAAGAGAGACATACACGCAAATAACTAAATAAATTATATTTAAAAAAAGAAAGAAAAAAAGAAAGAAAGAACAGATGCTCCTTTTATATGCATCAACTCCCATTCTACTTGTTACCATTAGACAACCATTTCTCAACTAGTTTGGTTTTTTTTTCTCTATAATGCTCTTTATTTTATCATCTTTTCAATAATTCTTTCGCGTTTTTTTTGTTTGTTTCTTGTTGTGGAAAAAAAAGCGGCTAAGATGAGATATAAGATTGATTACTAAACATATATGAATAGAATAAATCTAGTTGAAATCAATATTTTTATTCTATTGGTAAAATAATAAAATAATTCGATTTGTGATAAACTATTTCTTCGAATATGTATTTCAAATCTTTATTTATCATCTATAGAATAAATAATAATTATATTCAATAAATTAATTCTATTTTAGATAATTTTAATTAATAAATAAATCTTTAGATTTTTTTGATAGAATTCTATTTGTAGATTAAAGATAACTATAGTTATATTAATGGGTAACCTTATTTATCGATAATAATAATAATAATATATAAATGAGAAAATAATATAAAATATCCTCTTATTTAATAAAGATATAGAACTTTTCTCAAAAGGATAGAGAGAAGAGAGAAGAGAGAAAGAAAAATAAAAAATGTTTCTTGCTCCATATGTTGTCAATCAACTTGTTGACAGAATTCTAACAGTGCAAAGGGAAACGAGGGAGAAGAAAAGAGTCAAATGGAGTTGTGTTTTTCTTTATTAAGAAAGTAAAGAGAATAAGTCTAAAAGAAGAATTCTCCTTGTATTAGTTTGTTTTTATAAATCTAATTCGATAAAAGTCTTATTTAAAAGTTGAAATAATAATGTAAGTAAACGAATAAATATTTCTACATGTTATATTTCAATTGAATTAATTATTCTTTGTTTTTATCTTATTTATGATTAAGATAAGAAATAATTTCTCTATAGAGTTGACTTATTTATTTCATAGAGAGAGAAAGATACAATTTACATTAAAGAATAGGAATTATATTTATTTATTTTATTGATCATAGTAGAAAAATAAAAGTAAATATATTATATTGATATGATCATCTATGGAATAAAACAAAAAAAAAGTGATTAATTTAATAATATATAGAATTGTCTTTATAAAATCAATCTTATAAATAATAATATTTAATAGGTTAACTAATCTTATCCTTTATTGAGTCTATTATCATTATTTATCTTGAGTAAAGATTAACAAATAATTCTATTTTATTATCTCTCGATCTATTTTATAAATAGTTCCATCCTTTTTCATATATCTATACTTTTTCATATATCTATATTTCATTAAAAAAAAAAGAAAGAAAGTCTCTCTGACAGATAATCATTATCAATAGGATACCAACATATGGATTATCTCAAGAAAAAAAGCAAACCACCACTTTATTTTATCAAAGAAAATCTAGATTTATTATTGAATATATAAAAGAAGAAAAAAAAATCAGGTAAAGATAATAATATATTTAGTTAATATGAATAATCTAGATTGATTAATATATATATTTATTGGTAGAATATTATTTAAGATAATATTTAAATAAACCTTGCTTTATAGATTGATATCTCACTATAGGGCATATACGCACTTTTTTTTTTTCTTAAAAGTTAGTAAATATTATAAAAATAATGAGTAAAGAGTTTGTTCTAGACATGAAAGACATGCAAATAAGAAAGATTAGTTTGCCTTTCATTTATAAAATAGTCTTTATTATTATGTTGAAAGGATATTTTTTTAAATATTAAGAATAAATTCCTAATTATCTTATTTTAAATCTAATAATAAAATAAAGATAATGTCAAAATGAGCAACTAGACTTCTATATATATATAATTAATCCACTGATTATTATATTGAATTTGTCAACAATTCTATAATTATTATCTTTACTTGAATATATTCGGTTTATTGATTGTTTAATTATATTGAAACTAAACAAGTAGGTCACTTATTATTGAATATATTTAATTATTTCCTATTTAAAATCTTCTTATTATAGAATAAAAAAATCTTCTCTTTGTTTTGTCCTTGAATATAGATAATATATAGAAATAGTTAACTATAATTCGTGTCAATATATAATGAGCACATTCATATAATTGTCCTTAAGAAGATCATCCGTTTTTTTTTTTATTCCTAGATACCTTTACAAAATTCTTTAAGAATAAATTTATGATGAATAAGTCTTTATAGACAACATAGAGAAAAAGAAAACAAAAAAAAAATGTCATTATGTCAGTAGGTACCATTTGATAATCGTTGTTATTTGATGTTTTTTTGTTTTCTATATATATAAATATAATAAATTGAATCTAGATTATAAATGATAATTAAAATAATTGTTTAATGATAAGATAAAATAAAATAAATCTAAAATGTTATCTGTTCCATTAACTGGTTTACATTCACATAAATTAAAACGTCAAACAAATGTTGAAGATGATATTGATGGTCAACAAAATCAACCATTAAAATCTCTTTTATCAGATAATGAATCAAATTCATCACGTTCACTTTCACCTAATTGTCATTTTGTTATGGATCCAGAATCATTATCAAGTTATTTAGATATACCTGATACATCAGATAATAGTCGACGATCATCAAATAATAGTGTTGTACGTTTTATTCAACATGATTTATCTGATTTATGTTCAATTCTTGATATGACTGTAATTTTATTTTTATATTTTTATAAATAAATATTTTCGTTTTTTTTTATTTTTATTTTAGAATGAATCAGAAAATCTTGAAAAAGCAATAATTAATAATGATAAATATACAGTACGTCGTATAATTGATCTACATGAAAATAAATTTAATTTAATAAAAGATCATCCAAATATAGGAAAATATTCGACAGGTTTTCCTATAAATAGATTCCGATCAAGTCAACCAGTTATTTATGGAAATCAATCATATTGTTCAACATCACTAACAAGTTATACTGATTTATTAGAAGCATATAGTAAACAAGCATTAGTTAGTTATGAAACTGATGATCCACCATCAATATCATCAAATGAACATCATCGTTCAATAATTGATATAGAAAATAAAATTTTAACATCTAATACAGATACATTATCATCAAAATTTATTATTAATAATTTTCAATCAAATCCATCTTCGATTTATATTTGTTCATCTATAAATGAACAATTTGAAAATGATTTTCGTTCAAGATTATCATCAACAACAACATATAATAAACAAACTCGACAAACAACAAATGATTCACCTAATGATGCACCTCCCATTTTTAAAAATATTTTACATGTTGCTATTATATACGGTAAGACTTTTCGTTTTTTTTTTTTAAAATCAAACATCAAATAAAATTATTCTTCAATTATATTCACTTCAAATTTTTACTTTTTACCATAAAAGAGAATCACAAATGAAATTGACAGACTATAATAGATTAATTAGCAACAAATATTTCTCCTCTCTTACAGACTCTGACAGATCTTATTGACATACTGATCAAAGACTCTTATATAATTATCGTCTGATTATAATTAATTTAATTTCTATTTGTCAAGAATTTATCTAAAATAATGGTGAATTAAATCTATAATAAAATGAAATGAATAAAATAATATTTGTTGTCATTGAAAAGATGATCAAGATCGTCTTTTACATATTAATCTCATAGGTATTCTTAGAAAATTAATTTTTATCTTTATTTACATAAATTATTTATTCATTGTTGATAATATATTCACAATTTTATATTATTTAAACGATCAAATATTTTTATCTTATTCAACATCTCTTGAGAAATTATCTTAAAAATAGTTCACTTTTATTCAATTATTTACTTTTATAGAAATTATTTTATGCTTTAGATAATATAACAACCATTCTACATAATCCACAATCTATCACAACCTTATACCGATAGATAAAATCGTCACTTAGATATTCAATTATTGATATCAGATCCTTTTCCTTGAACTATCCACTAAAAAGCGTTTCATTTCTCATACAATTAATACAGAATGATGAAAATTTCCGGATAGATAGATATTCAGTTATCCTACAAATTTAGCTCTAGATGTCGCTCTATGACTGGATTATAAATGTCGTTAATAGTTAGATTTTATCAAACAATATTTTTTGCGTAACCCGAGATATCGTACTTTTACGAAAAT